GACTGTGTAATATTTTGCTATATTCATGCTATTACCAAAAAGATTTTTCTGTTTTTATTGTGCATTTAATGGTTAAAACATGGTGAGATAAGTCTGCCTGTAAGCTTTTGTTTCAGTTGAGTCAATTTTTAAGTAGAATATCACAGCCTTCTTTACTCTAATTGCATATTCACAGATTTTTCTTCAAAAATATTTTCTCTGTTCCCACTTTCATAGGTAGTATGCAAATACACCTGCTTGATCATAAGTCCCATGCTAATTTTTCAAGTCTCTCTTCAGTTTAACTGATGAAATACATATAAAATGACTCCTTGAGGTTGATTTGTTACTTATTTGAACTTTAGAAATAATAAATATTTTTTTGCCTAAGTTTAAAAATAAGAATAACATTATGAAACCAGCATCAAATACTATAAATTTTAAGGCATAATGACTTTAATGCACTATAAGATAAAAAATATCACTCTAGGAAATAGACTTTTATGTCTCTCAGAAGATCTCATCCTAACATCATTCTTTTTTTTTATTACAAAAGTTTGTTTTTACATCATTTTGTACTCTAACATCATTCTTATGTATTAACCTTTCCTAATAACTTGTGCAAGGAACCCAGAAACATTTGGGTGATTCTCCTCTCAAGCTCATCCTGAATAAATGTGGTTGTTGTTATTTAGGAGAAAAAAATCGAGAATTCAAGTAAGTCTCCAGTTGTCTGGTTATACAGTTGAGAGAGGCCTGTAACCTAACACTATAACTCAATTTCCCCATCTGCCAAATAGGAGTAATAAATTTTTTAAATAAAAGAGAGCATCAAAGAAATGCTATGAAGGCAAAGTTGTATAAATAATAATAAATCATATAAAAAATTTAAGATCCAATTAAAAGAACCCTAAAATAGAGGATTTCCTGTGCATGTGTGTGTGTGTGTGTGTGTGTGTGTCCATGTGCTATATCAACCAACATTAAGTTTACACACAGTAGAACTTTTTAAGTGAAAATTCTGACATCTCTATTTCAAATATGTATTTTTTTACTTTGTCATTTGGTTATAGCCCCAAAGTGCTCCCACACCCAAAATCAACTCTCTCCACTGCACTATCCTATTAACAGTAGATCCTAATCCATTACTATATCATAGCAGAAGAATTCTGTGGCTAACCACATTTTTACATTAATATAATTAAATCTGAATACGAGATTCTAACATTCTGTTTTCCTCAATCTCTTCTTCCATTTCTTGAGTTCTGAAATTGAAAGGTGTATTTTAAAGGTTGCTTGAACATTATGCTTGCTCCAGTAATTTCCTTAGGTAATCACTATCCTAAAAGAAAATAAATGCAAAATACAAAAAATAAAGTTTCAGATTCAACCAACTTGGAGCTTTCTCAAAAGATGACACATGGAGGCCCTCCCTGGTGGTGCAAGGGGTTAAAGCACAGCACTATGAAGCCACTGCAGCATGAGTTCGATCCAGAGTGAGGGAAGTGACCCACATGTCACAGCAGAGCTCTCCTTTCCCTCCCACTACTCCCCCCCACCTCCACCAGTGTATTTGCAGTCATCCACCCATTCTGCCCCTACTCTGTCTCTGGTGAATCCTCTCACCACCTGCATCTCTGGCCTATACCCCAGTTATTAGATGCATAAACAAATAGCTATTTAAAAAAAAAAAATTAAACATGGATGTGCCACATGACCCAGGCAATTCCACGCCTAGCTATCTACCAGAAGAATGAAAAAATACTAATTCAAAAGGAAACTTGTACTCGCATGTTCACTGCAGCACTATTTACAATAGCCAGGATATGGTAACAGCCTCAGCGTCTAAAAACAGAGAAATGGGTTAAGAAGATGTGGAGGGTGTGTGTGCACGCATATGTAGAATGCAATGCTACTCGGCTATCAAAAATAACTTCCTGCCATATGCAGCATCAAGAATGGAGCTGTAGAGGATTAAGCTAAGCAAAATTAATCAGAAAGAGAAAGACAAGTTCTAGGTGTTGTCACTTATATGTGAAATATAGACAGAAAAAAAACAAAGGCTCAGATAAAGGAGGAGGGACTAGAACAGAGGGGTGCACAGGGGTTGTGGGTGGACTGTGGGTTCTTTGGTGGTGGGTAATCTATGGCAGTAACACCTAAAGAGGGAAGTCTTACACTTCTAAAATGCAAATAACATTGTAAACCAATATTGGGCCACCTGATTAAAGACAGCGCTATCACGCTATAACACACGCCACTGCAGCAGAGTCTGATGATCCTCCACCAGCCAGGAAGCTGACTCACCTGGCACAGCAGACCACTCCTCTCTTGCCTGATGCTCCCCTCAGTAGTGTATTTTCATCAAACTGCCTGTCCTGCTCCCTACTCTGTCTGGTGAATCCTCTCACCGCCCCCACTACCGTACCTCTGGCCTATACCCCAGCTCTTGTATAATTCAGTAAAGCATAAATCAATCCTTTTAAAAGACAATGAAGGTCCTCCCTGGTGGCCCAACGGATTAGGGCACAGCACTGCAAACTAGCTGCAGCCGCTCCCCACCACCCCCTGCCCGCACCCCGGAGGTGATCCACGTGGTATGGCAGACCTCTCCTGACACTCCCGCTGCTCCCCTCAGCAGCATACTTCATTGATCTGCCTGTTCTGCTCCCCACTCTGTCTCTCACTGCCCCTGCACCTCTAGCTTGTACCCCAGTTCTGTATGAATACATAAATAAATCTTTAAAAACTGAGTAAATATATGATTTTTAATTTTTAATCCTGCAGGTCACAATGTTTATTCTGTCAGTGGAAAGTTTCCTTACAGTAGGGAAGTTAAAACAAATTATGCCGTGCAGTGTGCCAGGATCCTCCCAGCACCCATGTGGTGCCCAGAGAGGGGAACAGGAGGCTAAACAGCAATGGCTGGGAGTTTGGTTTTTCACATGAAACTACAGCGCTGAGAAGGCTTCTGAAATGATTTAGTTCCTATTTCCATAAACATAATCTTTAATGGCTCAGCTATATTTTCAACAAATCCAAAAATGAGCCCAGCCTGTTCAGCGAGTCATTCCTCACTTAAGACTGGAAATATGATACTGCATAATGTTTCCCAAAGTTTGAATACCTACCACGAGTTTAAAGTAAATGCTACCATTCCACCCAGCTACAAAAGGAATGTGCAAGATTATGGAATACACACACACACACACACATATTCATCATTGCCCTGAGTGAAGAAACAAATCTGAAAGAGGATAGGTTATAATGTCTTAGAATTACAGCCCTTGGATTCAAACTTTTTGATAATTTAAAGAAAGCCATACTTTTGCTATTGAGGTTTATTCAGTGGTTGTAAGAGATAAGCATGGTGTCTTGAATTAATAATTTGTTTCTTTAGTTTTGACATACTACACGGTTTTGATTTAGCATCTCACGCTAAAGTTTACTTATAGGAGAATTTCCCACTTGAGCAGCAAGATTCAACAAGGGGATTACTTTTTATAAGTTAGCCTCCTTCTTAGAAGTTGTTTTCCTACAAGCTTCTTTTTATCATTTTGTAGAATATAAACTATGATTTGGTTATTACAAAAATAGATATTGGGCCCTCCCTGGTGGTGCAGTGGGTTGAAGCACAACACTAGGAAGCTAGCAGCAGCTGCTTCAACATAAATTCGATTCCCAGCCAGGGAGCTGATCCACATAGCACAGCAGATCTCTCCCGTCTCTCTCGCTGCTCCCCTCAGCAGTGTACTTTATCCATCTGCCTGTTCTGCTCCACTCTTCTCTGGTGAATCTTCTCACCGCCCCCACCTCTGACCTGTACCCCAGTTCTGTATGCATAAACATGCATAAACAAATAAATCTTTAAAAAATAGATATTAAATTGAATCTATAAACCCAAGTTAATATATATAATATATATATTATATATATATACTTCTCTGGCACACACCCACCAGATGTCACTTTTCAGAGCTATGATCACCTTATGTTCAACGATATTTTAAACATACATTATTTAATGCTTCAAAAAATATGAAGGATAAGCATAATATCTTTTTGAGTAGATGACATAATAGTTGCCATTTTGAAAAAGTATCAGAAGGAAACAGATGACTGAATCTGAATCATTTCTCTTCTTTCCTCTCTCACACATGTCTCCCCACTGATTTTGTCCTGTTCACACAACACATGTACTTCCTGACATTTATTTGCTTCTCCTGAGAGCACAAGCATACAAAAGCATCTCTCTGATTAACTAGAAAAGCCAATTTTTTTTCTTTGTCTACAGGGTTAGGAGGAGACACTGTCAGAGGCAGTAAAGAATGTGAGGGACAGTCAGGACTTTGGGGGAGTCGTGACAATAAATTGCTGAGGGCACTCAGATATCAAATCATACCTTATTTTGCACAGCATTCTTGGGCTCCTGCAGGCAAAACTTTAGCTGGACTAACTCACAGAATCCACAATGGTAAGAAAATCATTACACATACTGATTCTGGTGAGATAAAGCGTACATTTAAATAGCAATGATTTCTTGTGACTGCAACGTGTTACACATCAAAAACAATCCACAAAGCTCCTATGTACAAATTAGAAAAAAAGCGTCATGTGCTAACTTGCACACGGCAGACACACCCTGTTATGCACACTCAATAGGCACAAGCTTGCAAGAGAAGATGGGCTGGATTCCAGCATCCTTCCAGCATCTCATTTCGTGCAGAGCGTAAGCTGAACAACTGGACATGGGTTTTTATTTCTATTATCTTTCTTTTGAGTGCTTCACAAATCATAAGATAAAAATAATACCAAAGTAGAACATTTAACATCACGTTTTAATGACACGTAGAATTAAGTCACATTGAGAATAGGAGACATTCTATAGCAAATATCAACTTGCTAGATTCAGGTGAGCAGGAAGCAATAATTGACACGGATGCCTTGTAGTCAAGTTGCCAAAGTGCAACTAACACAAGTTGCTCTTTTCTTTTATATTAACAGGAGAGGGGAATACTTACCACCATCTTCAACTGTAAAATGGAACACATCACTTGTGGCATTGGCCCCTTCTCTTAAAACATAGCATATTTTCATGTCATCAATGTCAGCTAGAAGAACAATCAGAAAGTGAGGTGATTAATTACTAGGGCAAAATCAGTGATTCTGACTCAAGGTCCTCTTGCCTATTATTTTCCTGTAGCCATATTTAGTTTTCTTTCTTCTAAGGGAAACAGTGCTGTCTTCTCAAATCTCTAAGTCCCTTGATTTCAGCTGTCCCATGGAAATATGATCCCTCACATAGATAAAAAGCGCAAGAGCTAGATTATAATAATAGCAAGGTATTGCCCCTCCCAATTTATCTGCATGCTCATGCACCAAAGAAGTGATTATCTAAATATGGAATGTCAGACTCCATGACAGGTGGAAAGGGAGATATTTTGAGGCATGGCAAATTTCCTATTGAAACCACACCCTTTACTTCCTTGGAGGACTGCAACTAAAAGGTTCCCTTTCCTCCTTCATGCTGATTTTTCTTATCTCTTATAGCACAGTAAGCCTGTTTTAGGCTCTCCAAAGTTTGAAAGAAACAGTCAAGAAGATATTCCCAAATCCCACAGATTGACAACATGATTCAATGTCATAGAGAATTTGTAACAGAAAATATCTAGTAACAACTGAAAGCTTCATTCAGAGTGAAGTTATTCTTCCTTAGAAATGCTCTTTCTGCTGCTTTCTATTCTGTCAATTTAGATAATTGTTTCAGTGAAGCCACGCATACAATTTTTAAACTTTATTAACCCATTTGACCAGCTTGTCTCTTTAATCAAGCCACACAGAAACCATAAAGCAGCCAATACTCTGTAATAGCCACGATGGTCTGCTATTTGATGCAAGCCATCAAATAAGTAGTTATTTCCAAAGCAACATCAAATCAAAATCATAGCTAAAAATAGCATCAATGAAGGTGTGTCACATTTATTTTGCTAACACATGTTGTATGGTTTTTCTTATCTCCTAGAGGCTCTAATATGTTCATGTTACAAGCTTCAAAGGCATTTTATCTAAGGATAAGTTTATGATGCAGATTAGAATCAACAAGTTACTCCACAGATTTCTATATCTCCAGGTTACATATGTGCCACACACACTTCGCCTTGGCTCATAGTTTTGAAAGATGACTTACGTACAGCCAGACATCTGAGGAGAGGAAAAATCAGATTTAATAGTTAATGATACCGTCTGGCTAACCGCAGTCCTTGGAAGTGAAGTCAATGCAGTAAGTTTTGTTCTCCCTGAGCATTTCATTTCTAACTTTAATATAATGTTCCAGACTTCTGCCAATTGTCATTTTTAAGTTCCTGCATGACAAACTCTCCTAGAAGATTTTATTTTTAAGTTCAATTCTCACAGTCCTTTACTCAGGGTCAGTAAAGGTTCAAATGCTTCTTAATTTATAAGAAAAACACCCAGAGGTGTGGGGAAACCATACTTGCCCTTTCCTTGTGCATTATATAATTCACCTGCAGGGTGAGGAATGGAAGCCCCCATACAGCTCTTTACCCCTCTACCCTTTACCCCCTAACTTTCACAACCTTGAGCTGACAACCCAGGCAGGAAGTGAACTAACTCCAAGATACTCTGTGTAAGAACCCTGCTCTCACCGAGGGGAGGGCCTTTCAATGGCCCCATTTCATCTTTAATTTTGTAAATTGAAGGCTCTATTACAAGAATGGAAAAAAGTGTTCAGTATACCCAATCTCTCCTACATTGTCTGCATAAGCAGAAAATACCATATGTAGGAGATAATTGTTAAAATGAAACTGATTTTTAAGAAGTTCTTTTTAAAGTAAAGGAATATGCATATAATTCTATGATACTCATTACTCTTCCATGTGAAGGCAGACAAAATTGATTGGTTGCAACCACTAAAAACCCTTTTCATTTTCTTTATAATTCTGTTGATATAATTCATGATTCATAAAAAGAACAGGTTTTTACATAAATTTTCCAAGACTTTGATCACGAGACTTTGTACAGGTACCTCTAAAAATAACTGAAATACATTACAAAGAGAGACACCAGGTGGTGTCACTAATATGTGGAATATAGAGAAACCAAACCAAGGTCCAGAGAAGTTTCAAAACTAACCCTTGGAAGCTGCCTCCAGAACTGAAGCGTCCAGGGCAAGAGAGGTGGGCGAGGGAGAACAAAGAAGGAAGGAAGCACAATGGATGGTGGTGTGGTCGTGGATGCACCATATTATCGCTACGTGATTGGGGAGAGACCCTCATATGAGGCAATTTAAAAAATTAATTTACAATATAATAAATAAATGAATAAGTAAAAGTACGTCTTAAGGCACAAAAGTATTAGGCTAAAAATCTAGTAACCAAGGTGTCATGTTCTTTAAACATCTAGAAATCAGCTAGGTTTTCTTCTCATTGCTAAACACATATCAAGTCTAATTCAATTAATCTACACAATAATTCTATGGGTTTTCTAAATTTTTTCTTTTAATATTAGTCCCCAGGCCCTGGTTCCAAGTATATGGGGAAATTCCTGAAAGAAATCACTCTGTACTGGTTGTAGAGAGGAAAAGATTCAGGGACTTGAAACAAGTGAGTTTGGCCTGCATGGAAGGGATAGGAGCAGCTAGACAAAGAGGAAAAGTTTGAAGTAATCAAGTAGTAGCTCTAACTTATCTAATTGTCTAATTCTACCTTAACTTTTTCTAATCACCAACTGGAATGAATGTTAACAAATAGTTGTTGTTGTTTTGCCTCTTAGAGACCACTTAGCCAATCCATTTGTGAATAACCCTCTCTGGCACAGGCGCTAACTTGATTTACCTCAGTGCATTGAAAGACCATCAGAATAGTTTATGCTTTCATGACACATCAAAAACACAGCAAATAAGAGCATAGTCATCACTCTCGACCAGGCTTTCATTTCCAACTGGGGGGGGGGGCAGCCACTGTCACTCTAAGATGGTGCTCTCTCTCCACATTTACTCACTTATCTAATCTCCATAAATAGCTGCTATGAACTGAAATCCAGCCTCAACTTGTTCAAATGAGTGCTGTGTGGCTAAATACCAAGTTTTCCCAGTCAATATTTGGGTTCTTATTGGAATGTATAATTTCTCTTGGAAAGCTAATCTTAAAATTGTATCTTCACTTTTTATAAGAAAGCTATGCCTACTCTATATTTATAATGACCACAAAAAGTGACTGTGGTGAGTTAATTTCAGTGAGAGACAAATGACATCATTTTACGGTTCAATATTTAAGAAATAATATTCTAGTACTTTGACATAACATTTGAGTTACTTGTCCATTGAATTTAAATGAAAACAGTGATCTACCTTTACCCCAAAAATGTCCGCTTTAAAAACCTCTGGAAACAGGTTCTTTCAGGTCAGTGGAATTATTTGAAGTAACATTTTCTCTCCTCTAATATATTCCTTTCATCCTCTTCACTTTCCACACAAATAAACCAGTCTACGATTATATGGCATCTCTAGCCCAGAAAGTCCTCACACAAAAGTATCCTGCAGTTCTGGTGTGACACTTGGCACTCTGAGGGTTTCCTGTCCCTGCAGGCCCTAGGATATATTCAGGCTGTCAGCCAAGAATCAGGAGGTTGGAGTGTGGGGCTATTTGCCAGCATCTAAAACAGAGAAGCAGTTCACTTACCACTGCTTTGCCACATCCATGTTTATTAACACACTTGTTATCTAAGAACTTGAGACTGCTGCAGGAAAAGCACACCCCCAGTGGAGTGCTCTGAGGTTAAACTCCATCTCCACCCACACAGTCACAAAGGCTAGAGCTCCTTCCCCTTCTGACAAGGTGAGATTTTCATGAAAGCAACCCAAAACCCTTGATAGTGAAAGCCACACTAGAGAATACAGCCTTGGCTCCCAAGCCAGCATACTGAATGGGTTGCTTCCATCAGCCACTGAGTAATTCAGCCTAAGCCATTGCCCTTCCGGTCTCAAGACTGTGTCCACACACAAAGAAAATGTAGGTGCAAAAATCACTTTGGCTTCAAGAATGCAGCAGAAGTGAGGCGACTGGTAGTTTTTAATGTAGAGAGAAAGTTTGCAAGGAAGTAATTTCCCCCTTCTATTCTCAATCTTGTAAACATATCTTCAGGGTCTTAATAATGATGTGGCTGTCTATTTTGGTGATGAAAAAGTTATGTTCTTGGCCCTCCCTGGTTAAAGCACAGCACCAAGAAGCTAAAGCCACTTCAGCATGAGTTCAATCCCTACCCACCACGGGGGTGATTCACATTGCTGTACAGACCTCTCCTGATCCATCCACTGCTCCCCTTAGCAGTGTACTTCGTCAGTTGGCCTGCTCCCCACTCTGTCTCTGGTGAATTCTCTCACTGCCCCTGTACCTGTACCCCAGTTGTGTATGCATAAATAAATAAATCTTTAAAAAAATAGTTCTTACACACCATTAAATAATCACTCGTGTGTGTGTATCATAGAAGCACACCTTTTATATGGCATTGTTATAACCCTAGGTAGGTGTTAAGCTTCTGTCTTTGAACAGGTGTTCACCTGAGTCAATATTAAGAAGTTATAAAGGAAGATCTACAGAGTAAATAGACATAAATCTTTTTTGTCTCAAAGTTCCTAACAACTGTAACAGTATTACAATAATATTCTCAAAAATTAATCAAAGTAATATAAATTTGAAAGTCCTCTTTGAGTGGCTGGTGAAAATAAGTCCATAGAATTTAGAAAACACATCTTTCTTCAAGGATGAAGATGCTTCAACACCTTCTACCCTAAAGACATTGGCTGCTACAGACAAATGTAGCAAATAGCCTACTTCATTGTTGCTTCATCAAAGTCTGCTTCTACCTTGCCACTATCAACGTATACTGAACCTCCCTCTAATAAAAGTCACTGCAAGAAGGGAGCTCTTCTCCCAGGAAAGAGTCTTTATCATGTCAGGGAAGACGATATCTATGCCTCAAACTGTCACATAGAAGTAGTGGTCTCTGAGAGCATTTATCCCATCAGTGACATCAAAGCCATGTCCACTCCCGCTATTTCCCTTCTCTTGGACTCTAATTTGATGCTCTACTTACAAAGTTTTCACAGACAGTGAAAACTCAGAAAATAATTTATTTCTCAGGAAATAAAACCAGGAACGTCCTTTGGGGAAAGGAAAGAAAAATGAGCATACCTTGTGTGAACTGAGAGACACTGTGGTTGCCTTTGCCCAGGTTGAGGAGATAGCCATGCCGAGGAGCCTGTGTTACAATGAACCTGAGAGAAAAATGTAAGCTGTCTCTGTCCTCCACTTTCAGGGTTTTGCTGGTGATCATGAAGCCCAAATGACCGGTAGCCAGAATGCGAAGGGTAGAGGCCCCTTTGTTCACAGTAATTTGGGGGACATTATTGTCAACAGCTAATACCTGAATCTTCATTACTTGGGGCCTCCTTGTTTCAAATACTGTATCAGGAAAAACGTAGAACTCAGTATGGGAACCGTCAGTCACTGTGAAGGAGAAGCTGTCTTCACTTGACTCAGTGCCATCATGTCTGTAGCTGATTAAATTGTCATTCAAGTCTTGCTTGGTAAAAACCATGGCAGGTCTAGTGTTGTTAAATAGGAGCTGACCATGAACAGGTACCTGTATGACAATGAACTTCAGGAGTTTGTCGGGAGTATCTCTGTCTTCCACGGTGAGTTCAAAAGGAGTGATCAGCTTGTTGTCACCTTCGCTGACAACAAGCTTATGGATGGTCACCACTGGCTTCTTGTTGTCCACATCACTAATGGATATACGGAAAGTTCGGAAGACAGGGTTACGTCCATCAGTGACCTGAAACTCAAAACTGTCCATCTTTACCTCATCATCAGCTGTGTGAATGTAGTAGATTTTGTTGCCAGCCAGCTGGAGCTGAGTGAAAGAAGTGATGGACACTCCAGGTTGATCAGTGCACTCTAAGTGACCTCTTGTGGGAGCTCTGGTGATAGTAAAGACTAAGTTTTCATCTGGACTGTTCAAGTCACTAGTACTTAGTAGGTCTGTTGTGAGGGTGACTTGACCACCTTCTCTCAAGGATACTCCCTTACTTACCACATCAGGGAAGACGATGTCTATGCCCCCAATAGTCACATAGAAGTAGCGGTCTATGAGAGAATTTATCCCATCAGTGACATCAAATTTAATTAGGTCCCGAATTCCCTCTTGCCCAAAATGGACATACTGGATTACGTTTCTGTCCACTTCATCCTGGGTAAAATTCATGCCCAGTGTGATATTTTCAAAGGTACCCACAGGGTTCTGTCTCTGTAATGAGCCATGTCCTGGCCCAAAACGAATAATATAGACCAAGGATTTGTCTTCAGAGTCTAAATCAGTTGCCATTAATATTTTGTTGTTGATCACTTTAGCTTCCCCAATTTCTATTTCTAGTCCATTATTGATGGCCATTCTGGGAGTCTCATCATCAACTGGGATGACCATAATAAGGACTGTCTTTTCTACAGAGTGGTTACCATCTGTTAACTTAATCACAAAACTGTCTTCCTGGGTCTCAGAGTCATCATGTTCATAAATAATGCTGGAGCTCTCTATGATCTGGTCCAGGGTGAAGCTCTCTACTAAAACTGTGCCATTTATCAGCTGGTTCAAGATGTGACCATGAGTAGGAAATCGGGTGATAGTGAAAGTTAAGTCATCTGGGGGAATGTCAGCATCCGCAGCATTGAGGATGGGAGTATCGATCACCAGACTCATGCCTTCCATCACCATAAATTCTCTCATAAATATTTCTGGCTGTTCATCATTGGTAGGAATGATTACAATGGGGAAAAATTGCCTCTCTGAAAAGTTAATGCCATCAGAACAACGAAATACAAATCGATCTTCCACAGGTTCCACCCCTTTATGAATGCTCTGGACATAATTAATATGACCCTGTCTCAGATCTTTCAGAGTGAAAGCACTTATGGCAATTCCTGCTCTTGATTTTTCAGAGCCTGGTGCTGGAGAAATGTTTTCAACATAACCTGAGGTAGGCTGAATAACTATCGTGCACAAAATGTCATCATTTAGGGAATCCGTATCTTTGGCACTTACATGCTTTGAAGTTATAACACTTTTATCACCTTCCATTACCACAAACCTTTCCCCTATAGATATTTCTGGGGCCTGATTATCAACAGGGAGGATGGTGACCCACACTGTAACTCCTTGGATAGTATTGCCACCTATTCTCCATTCTTGAGACATATCAGACAGACTCAGATTGAAAGAGTCCTGTTTGGGCAACAGACCTATCTCACCGCTAGTGTGAGCATAGACAACAGAGCCCTCCAAGATGTCCTTCTGGGTAAACTGCTCTGCTGGGACTCCATTGACAAGGATTTCTCCATACAAAGGCAGGTCTTCCAAGAGGAAAGTCAACATCAAATCATCAGTGTCCTCATCAGTTCCCTTAATAACATTGGCAGTGATTTCAGTAGCCCCATTTTCTAACACATCTAGGTATGATCCCAGGGTACCTGGGGGAAGGCTCAACATGGGCATCTCATCATCCACGGGCCGGACATTTACTCTGAGAGTGATGGGAACCACATGATGACTGTCGCTGACCTCCAACAAACAGCTATCTGTCAGGGACTCATCCCCATTATGAGTATAGGAAATCCGACCCTGTTTTATGTCCTGCAAATGGAAGGTCCCTCCTACATGCAGTATCTGTCCAGACACCCTTATGTGGCCGTGTCTGGGTACCTGTGTGACAGTAAAAGAAATGTGGGCTACATCAGTGTCTACATCCTTCACATGCAACTCTGTCTCACTCAGGATATGGTGGCCTTTCTCCTGAATAGTAAAACCGGTGTTGAGGATCTCAGGTGGCTGATTGTCCACTGGCTGCAAGTACAGGGTGAAGGTGCCCGGAGCCACATTCCCGGCTCGATCCTCCACCTGGAACTGGAACTGGGCCACTCGGGCAGCCACTCCCAGCTCTTGATCTGGAGGCCGATAAGCAATTTTATGGTGGTTAACCTGGGCCTGGGTAAAATGGGCCACCACCACTGAGGGATTGTCTGTTAGCACCAAGGTGCCCAGTGGGGCTGGTGAGTGGTTTTCATCTGTATCCACCGGGGGCTGAGTCACTGTGTAACGCAGTTCTCGGTCATCTGTGTCCAGGTCAGTGTAGCGCAGCCACTTCTTCTTCAGAGGTGTGAGCTGGGATTCCTGCACCACCATCCGAAGAGGACAGCCGCTGCCCAGTTCTGGAGGAAGGCGATCCACAGGATGAATGCGTATCACAAACCTCTGCAGTCCAGACTGGTTAGGGGGGTCATGATTATCTTGGACCCAAAATGTGAACTGGTCCATCACTGGCCTCGGACTATGGGATCCAGTGTGCCTATAGAAAAGCCTCCCTTCCATGATGTCCCGCTGCAGCCACTCTGTCACAGTTTGTTCATAGAAATCTCCCTGTTTCTTCCAAGAACCCCTGAGAAAGTCCTCTTCCTCACTGGGAGGATGAGTTTGACGGAGAAGCAAATGTCCTGTGGCAGACGAGGGTGACTCTAAGATAAAAAGCAGCAGAGAGTCATCTGAGTCCATGTCAGTTGCGCTTAGAGCGAGGGGCAGGATGGGCACTGTTTCACCCTCTGCCAGTGTCAGTCCTGTGTTGGCATTGAGGACCGGCGGCTGGTCATCTACAGGTACTAAGGTGATAGGGAACAGGAACTGTACTTGGTGTCTTCCTCCTCCATCCACCATTCGCAGCACCAGGTTGTCACTCAGTGAACCATCTTTGTCATCATGCTGATAGACCACCTGGCCTGCTGCTAGCTCGGCCACTGTGAAGGTCTTAGGGGCAGAGTTGCCATGGGCGGCACCCAGAAGGACCAGGTGACCATGGCGGAGTCCAGCCACCACCTCCAGCTGCACTGCTTCCAGGTCATCCTCATCACTGATGACCAAGTTTTGTGGCCCACTGCCTGCAGGGCCTGTGAGGGGCCGAGACTGACCCTCATAGAGAATGAGACCAGTGTTCCGGGTCACTACCGGAGCCAGCGTGTTCATGGGCTTCACCACTACCATGAAGGCAAAAGGGTCTGAGGCTGCTCCTTCTGGGTCCACTACCTCCAGCTCAAGTTCAAAGAGACGCTCCTGGTCAGCGTCCTCTGAGGGGGGCTGGTAGGCAATCTTCAGGAGGTGCAGATCCCTCTGTGTGAAGGAGGTGAGAGGCAGGCTGCGATCATCAGTGCTCACCAGGTAGCCCTGGCCAGGCTGGAATGGGGAGGTGAGGTTGAAGATCAACAGGTCAGGAGGAGACTCAGCATCCTCAGCAGCCAGCATGTCTGGGGTCAGGGCAGTCAGTACAAACTGGTCCACTTCCATCATCATCATGGCCACAAAACTGGGTTTGGGTGCTGTGTTCTCGGCCCCTCCCCGGATTCTCACCAGCACCTGGAAATGCTCCCGTTTCAAAGCAGGACTGTCCAGTGGAGAGCCTCGGGAGCGCAGTTCCACCACCATGGGCACCCAGTCCCGGTTTGGTGAGCGACTGGGGGCGGTGTGGCGGTAGCGCACACCGAGCTCCTGGAAAGCTTTGCAGTCCATCAGAAGAGGCTCTTGGGCGCCCCCCTCGCTGGCTTGACCCGGGACCTGTGGGTAGTGGAGGAGTTCCCCATAGCGAGGCAGCGCGCCCAAACCTAACAGGATGCCCACACGACACTCCTCCGTCTCGGGCTGGTAGGCGAACTCCAAGCTCCGAGCGTCCAGGGCATTGCTGGTTCCCAGCAACTCCTCCACCACCAGGGGCAAGTTCCGAGTCACAACTTCTAGCTGCGTGAACACCACCTCCACGTCCAGCACCAAGGGTAGCACTGCCGCTCCTCCTGGAGCGTCATAGCGCAGCTGCAGCCTCACGCGATCCCGCGACGGGCTGCGCGCGCCTAGGTGTAAGTAGCGCACCTCACCAGGGCCGAAGTCGCACGGGAAGCGCTTGGGACTCAAGCGCCCCGGCCGCTGGGCCAGCGCGTCGTTGTCTAGCACAGTCACTGTGCAGCGGTCCCCCGGCTGCACCTGCAGCACTAAGTCGTGCAACGGGTCGAGCCAGACCTCGCGGCCGAAGGGCACCCGGAGCCCACGATTCGCCAGCACTATGGCCTCCTCCGCGGGGACCCCAGAAACCCCTGCGAAATCCGGAGACGCCAACGCGCGACCAGGGGCAGCGGGCTCTGCCGGGACGCGGCTTACCAGTGACAGGAGAAGCAGCAGCACCAGCAACAGCCGGGGCGGTGGTGGAGGCAACGGTAGAAAACTGTTGGGACGCGCTGTCAGGCGCGCGCTGCAGGCGACGGGGGTCCCGGCTGCGCACATGGTCCTGTTAGGTCTGAGACAGGTCAGTCTGAGAACGTACCGTCAGTCCCCCGGGCGGAAAGCTAGCGACCCCTCCGGAAAGTGCCGGGGATTCCACGCGCTGCCTACGGGTCCCGCTGTAGCCAAAGTGGGGCCAGAAGGATGGAAAAGTTGCGCGGCGCGGTGCTATCGCCGAGGAAGCTTAGCCCGCCCGGCCGGCCCGGCTCTCCTACTCGCGGCTCAGCTTTGCAAAGAACCGAGTGACTCCACTTCTTCGTGTCGGGTCCCCGAACTCTAGGCTCTGAGGGAAATCCCTCCCCTGGAACCCCCTTACTCCAGTCCTCACAGGAGGCCAATCGTCTGCCCCGGGAGGAGGCCTGGAGTCGGGGGTTGGGTAGTGATTTCTGCCAATCAGCAAGAAGGGGCCGAGGCGGGGAAACGGCGGAGAGGGGAGGAGAGACAAGGGGTAACAGGTTCTCTTGGAAGCGAGGGCACTCGCCGGCCTGGAGCTCCCCACCCTTGCTCACATTTTTGGTCTGGACTGCTAGGGTTGAGAGTCTAGCAGGGGAGATCACCCGTTCGGCTAGATCGTTCTTCACCCGTTCGTGCGCCCTAGGATTACCCGTTTGATTTCCAATCTCCCAAATACAATGGAATCTCGAGCTAGTGGGTTCATTTCTCACTACAACTTGCAAACCCTTGAGGGAAAGTTAAAGGCAAACCACTTAAGTTTGAAACCCAGATCAGTCTGGGAGGAAATTGTGAGGCATATTTGCAAAAGAAAGACAGGAATTAAAAGTCAATGCTGGAGCAGGTTGCGCCCTCTTTATCCCACCCCCTACCGCTCCAGAACCGCGGTAAACTACAATGGGCACCGTCCTTTTGAGTTTTTAACTGGTCCCTCCTTTGCAACCAAAGTTCAGAGCAAAAGGAAAAAAGAGCTTTTGGAATGCGTGAGAAATGCAGTCTGATTGGAATCGCGAGACTCGCACCAAAGAAGAAATTCTAGAGAATGTAGCCTCAGGCTCTCCGAAAGCCGCGCTGTTGGGCTGCTGTCTTTATAGACGTTCCGGTTCTCTCTGCAGTAATTAGACCAAGTACAAACTAAGCCCACTTGTCAGCATCACATTTCTTTGTATGCAAAGGAATTGATAAATATCCGGAGGGCGAACTAAAATCGGTTACCTCCCATTTCAACCAGTTTTGTAGTCAGAGTTTGAGCTCTTTCTGCCCCCTTGTGTTTGTTGAGTTCCAGGAGTGTGTAGATTCCTTAAGTTTTCTACCTGCCTTCTCACTCCTCCCCCCGCCCCCCGCCCTCCTTCCAAGGACAACAACTCCTTAGGATGAAAACCTGAACACTCTCAAAACAGTTCTTTGAACAGCCATGCTTATCCTGATTACAATACTTTATTTGGAGTAATGTGTTTTTGTTTTTGTTTTTGTTTTTGTTTCTCACTGACACTACAAACCAGGTTATTAATTGAAATGTAGAATTGGGGCAATTCTTTGTTCCAATTCGTCATCCTGCCCTTTCCCTGCTTAAAGATATTTTGGATTGGGCGAAAGAAGGAGGGTAAGAAATTGTACGCCCTTTTAAAATTTCAGTCTCTGTTGTGGATACAAGATGCAACGTGTGTGCATTTCAGTAAGAAGCATTTAACCTGCAAAGATTGGTTCCTTGTCTCTAGTCCAGGACTTTGCTCCCTGCATCAAACATTCACAGCTCCTTTTCAGACCACAACATAGCCACCGCACCTAAGTATTACTGGGAGATCCAGATTCTGCTCCCGGAACCCACTTTGCAGTATTCTCTGAGAGTCAAGAGATAGGAAAGTTCTGAAATCTTTCAACAAGAAGCAAGGGAGGGAATAAGAGGTGAGGAGGGGAGAGAGAGGTTGAGAGAGAAGAGAGAATGAAACAGATTTTAAGGAATTGATACAAATAACATTTAGTTAACTGTATTTTGAATTTATTCTGTAGGTTTATGCACTGTTTCAAAGCTCTTAACTGCCATTTGCAATTGCTAAATGAAGTTCACAACTTAGTACAAAATGAATATTAGGAACATGGAAGGAAGGCGCTCCAAACTGAAACATTCAGAAAATCCCCATCCGCACATACAATTTGCTTTTAAAATGCCAATTTTTTCTTGGCATTATTATTTTATCACTTATGATTATTTTATTATTACATATAGAATTCAAACTTCAATGATGGGAAACCTACTATGTCCTATTCACAAATCAAACCAAGAGGAAGACTCCAGTGAAATACAAGATGAATTTCAGAATATGACTCTTCATATATCAATTGTCAAATTCTGGTTATTTGTTTTGATTGAAAAATGGCTGCTGGAAGCAAAATGTGCCCCCCCAGCCTCCACACAGGCCCTGAGACTCAGAGTGAGTTCCCACCAGAACCAGACCAACAGGTTGACCCCTGACGCTTCCCAATAGCCCAAGGTTTCCTTTCTTCCTTTTAAAGTCCAACTTTGTTTAACTTGCAAGCAATGATAAGATCAGCATTTGAAGAATGGTAGCATGCCGAAGGGCAGAGTTCAATATTTGTTTCATGGTAAGAATAATAGAGGTCCACATTTATTTTTAAGTAGGCTAAGGAAATCAATAAACTATAATTTTTTTTTTTTTTTTTTACATTTTAATTTAGCTTGCCCTGATTGAAGTGATAAAACGAGTCTCAGGAATTTGGGAGGGAGAGAGTAAGTATCTAATTTTTTTTTTATTATATTAAGGTAAGATACCATTATTTGCTTAAATATATTTTGCATTGATGATCATTGATAAAGTAGTAAAATATTAAATTCTCAACTGAAAAGCAAACACAGATGATAATGATCTGTCTGTAAGATAAATACCTCAATGTTAAAAGATCACTATTATGATAACAAAGAATTATTATTTGACAATCAACTGTATCAATATCATAAAGGATAAAAGAACTGGACAATTTTTTTTTTTAATTTGGCCTTAATTCTTCAGTCAGTTCTTAACTTCTTATGTCTTAAAACTCTCTATGTAATCTGGACAAAATATACTTTTTAAACTAAATTCTTAAATTTTTTAGAATGTGAAAAAACGAAACCACCAAAACATCTCAAATCTACTTGAAGCTAAGATTATTGCCTGTGAAACTCAAATGATTTCCGGGTCTAGGGCTGAGTACCAGAGAACTTGTGTTGTAAAACAAAGGAGATAAGCTGATGAGGTTATGTTGCAGGTAAGATATTCTGGTAGAGTCTGTCTGTCTGGGTCTCTAAAATCAGATTGGAGCTAAAGACTTTCTGGTAAAATTTTGAATGTTTCAGTGTTATCATAGTTTGTTTCCTTATGTTCTTCTACAGGCTCATAAAAAATTCCAATGGAGCAGACTGACCCACAGGCAGTTTGAAAGTATTTAGAGATGAATGGTTGAAGCTTTATGTCAAGCATCTTCAGTAGTTCTCAACAGAATTTTGTTTTTCAATAGCTTCAAAATTATGGCTTGCCTATAAAGAAATTTGACTGATTTTCAGAGAGATACTGAGGGAGTCTATGTCTGAACTAACCAAGAATTGCATTCTAGACTCGGTTCTGATATCTACTACGCATGTCTACATGCACTTTTCTTTGCTTTGCAACTATGAGCTCCTCATTTGTAAACTGAGGGGCTCTGTCTTTTTGGATAAATTTCCCCTTTTTCTCCTCATAGATGGCAGTTGTCATTTTTGCCAGAAAAACTTATTTTGTTGAAAAAAAAAAAGATTCTGTGCTGCTAGGTCAGAAATCTTCAGACTGATTTCAGAGTTCATACCCTTTGCTCCTAAAAAATGGTTCCTCTTTGAAATACATGAAATAATATTTACATTCTTTGATTCAGACAGCTTACCTATGACACCTTTAAGTAACTTTTTTTGATCAATAAGAAAATTAAGATAATATAACAATACAAAGCTAAATAAAAATTCATTATAAGGACAGGGGAATTTACAAGGTGGACCTATAATTGTAAATACATGTAATATTACAAAAATCCAAACTTTCCAAACAAAGCTATGCTGAGAGAGGTGTTGAAAAAATGATACTGGACTAGGAAACTTTCCGTACTTGCTTGCTCAGAGTTAAGGAAAGTCATCATATCCGTCGCTAAAAATGTGATTGGGGAAGAGGTAGGGAAGGTTAAATTATTGTCTTAGCTATACTGTGGTGTGATCAGAATGATGAAAGAACAATGTGTATATGTGCTTTGTGTATATATGTGCATGCAAAATAGAAATGAAGAAAAATGATGATAATTTTTTAAATGTCTTTCTCAGTAAACATATAAATACTGATAAAGAGATAAATTACACAGATAGGTAGATCTATAGATAGGTAGATCTATATGCTAAGTAGAGCCAGTAAAAGTGCTATTTCAACTTCCTCACCAAGCAGGTTTAAAAGCCTTTAAGATGAATTTCACAGTTCCCTCATTCTCTACAATGGGTCATTAAGTTGGAGAGAATCTATCTCCACAGTCTTTCACAGCTGTCCTTTCCTTTCACTCCTATCATCCTGGCTCAGTTTTACACTGTTTTTCTTTTAGATTTCTTCAAATCCTAGCCTTGCACTGTGGTATATACCATCCTATACATTGCTCTAGAGAAAATAGAAATCCATCTTTTATTTAACATTTTGTTAAAATCTTTTTTTCTGGCTTCCAATTGCCTATAAAGAGGAACAAACTCTGTATCTTTATATTCTCCCTAAACTAGCATGTTTGGAGACTGAATTTGCTAAACCTTTGCTTATCTCGTTTTTACCTTTAATTTTTAGTTCATCATGTCCCTTCCATCTGCAGGGTGTCCCTATTCGCCTATCAGAAATTTATTTTATTTATTTTTAAAATATGTCACATTGTACTACTTAGATTTTTTTTTAAGATTTATTTATTTATGTATACAAAAATTGGGGTGCAGGCCTGAAGTGTGTGGGGTGGTGAGAAGATTCACCAGTGGCAGTGTGGGAAACAACAGGTGGATCTAC